GGACGGCTTGATGCAGGGTCTTCAGGTCGTAACTCGGCTAACATGACTTCTTCGATTATTGCTGGCGCTGACTGGAAAATATTTTCTTTTGCTTTCTGGTGTACCTTTTTGGTGACTTGAATCTTTGTTTTTATTCCTGGTTCTGCTGGATGTACGAACGAAGTCTGTACCGAAATGGCCGACTCCTCACTTTTGTACTTGACGCACGAAAACATATTTGTAGTCAATATGTACGAGCGTAGTAAGTACCATGTCCAGTAATGATCGACTTTTCGAGAAAAAAAATGTAAATATGTTTGAACGTAGTATATACGTAATGACCGACTTCCCCGATGTTTCACCGGCCGACTTCCCCACTGGCCGACTTCTCCGATGTCCACTGGTCGACTTCTCGCACTGGCCGACTTCTCCGTTGTTTTGCTGGCCGACTTCTCCTGCTGGCCGACTTCTCTTGTTACCATGTGAATTGGGACAAATTGATTGTGAATCCATCAGTTGACCCATCAGTATCTTCGCTGAGGTGAACAAACGACCGATAATAAGGAAAACAAGAAAAAACATGGAGTACTATAGTACTAGAAGTGATCTATTTTTATTTGTTAAAATTAGTAGATTCTATTAGTAATCAGGGTCGGTGACACTATGGATGTACATCCATGGTGTCACCAAACCCATTGCACTGTCTAGGACTGTTGTTGGGAGATCGCCTAGCTGCAGTTATGTAGCTCCATGGTTTCGTGTTAACACCACGACGAACGAAATAACCGACAGCGAAACCAAGCGAGCTACAGAACTGCAGCTAGAGATCGCCTGACCGTATGATCGTATTAAACCTCGACACACAGTCACACAGCCTGAGGACCAATGAAGCTCAATTACAGGACTAACAAGGAGGGGTGAAGGACGCTACCGACATTCAATAACAACACGTGCGACCAATGATCATGTTTGCTACTCACATTCCCCCAGTGGTCTCCCCAAATCATAGCACAGCAATGGTAAACATTATTACGATCCTACCAATGCATCGCGCACGCCGAAGGAATTAAATCGTGCAGCTAACCGGCCGATCATGGCGTAAAACCTTACACTAACCTGGAGAGAATTGCTGGTGTAGTGCATTTTGCCGCAGGCAGAAGTGCTCTTGAAGTGTTCCTGACAGTTACCTGGACAACCTGACCACCAGGTACAGTCAAATATCTTAACAATTTTAAATTTCTTGCAGACCGCAAGAGAGCCGCCATGATTAAACGTACATGTGAGTTTAGTTGTTCTTTGCGCACGCGTCGAAACAAAACGCCACTAACGGTAACCTTTTCCGACGGTGTCTGCTTTTGTTTTTATATGTTATGCACAGAAAGGACGTGGGAGGAGAAAAGTTCAAAGTGCAAAGTTCACCGTATATAATAAAACACGAAAACGATGTTTTGGCGGATCCTCGTTCTCGTGCTCTTATGCACTGTATGTAAGTATTAATACAAATCTGAATACAACATTCGTGCGCCTCAGAGACGCTCTTATGAGGTCAAATGTCCATTTCATGAAATATTATAATTTTTACCATAGATGCTCATAATATTGCTCGGTTTGTTCATGAATTAAGATATGATAATATTCACTCATACTTTTGGTGTAAAAGGACTGTCTGCTTAGTATAGTTATATTATAGAAAAATACAAGTAATACAATTATATCTTCAATATAAACAGAATGAAAGAACCTAGCATTATTAGGAACACCTGTGTTTAATAATGTATATAATGCTTCGCAAAGTCATTAAATTGATAATCAAACGGCCTGTGACACTGTGACTGCGTTTAAGACTAGTACACGAACCGCAAATCTCCCAAATATAAACCAAAGTAAGAGTTGACTCAGAGGACACGCTCAAATCCCTATTTGCATTCAGTTGAGGGTTAAAGGTCAATGACTTAACTAAAGGTTGGTTGGAGGTGAACTAACGGGGGGGGGGGGGACAGAACTTATTACAATAAACAAGTACAGTGTATTTCAAAAGGGCATGAAGTTTTTTTAAATATACAAAGTATTAATAAACATTTTATAAATTTAAAATGACGGTTGAAAACTGGCCAATCACAATGACTTAAATTAGCAGATATATACCGTCTATATAGAAACCAAAAAAA